ATTTTGGGCCACCAAGAGATCTTTAGCGTGTGCAATTTGCACACAGGATGCACACAGGATTGCACACCAGACCTCCAAGATTTTTTGCCTTTATCCAAAATGACCTATAGCAGAGTCTTACGCCAAGCAGTCCATTTGTATTCCATATTAACATTATTACGAACTAGAGTTACGACCTTTTGTCACAGACTTATACAACTACAATCAAAGAACCTTCACGGACACCGCAGTAACAAACAACACCACCAGCACCACCAACAACATCTTAAGACCATTCTTCATCCAAGCCACTACAACATTAACACTAACAGTCAAAGAATTCTTATTCTCACAGTCAATGCAAACCATCAATACATTCTTCTCATAAAACATCGGTGTTTTTACACCGCCAACAACACAATTTAGACCATAAACCATCACAATGGACGCAAGAGAAAAAGAGAGTACAAAGGAACAGCAATGACATTCTACACACACCAGAAAATATCACAATAGTGAACAGTTAAAAATCACATTGGTCATGTCCATCACATTTCAGCTCCAACAAAACCCGAACAGACAGACAGGAAGTCTCACACACAGAGTTTAAGGTCAAGGTCACAACATAACCCACCCCCCCCCGCCTCAAAAACAACAGTGTATAGAAAAGAGGTACCTGGCCACTCGTCACATAGACGGTAAATGGCTCGCTTTTAAGGACAAGCGGGCTCACCCAGATTTCGGGGGTTTCCAGAAATCTTGACCTACACAAAAAGTGGGCATTGCTCTCCCTATAGTGGAGAAGTTTGATTTCATCGTTGTGTATATTTGTTTGGTTATAGAGGAAACTCTCCTTGTCTTTTAAAGGAACTGAACGAGGGGCAAAAACTTTACATTCGATTTTCTGAAAACAGCACTTTTCGGGATAGCGCCCTTGTGCTTAAAAGTGACCAATTATAAATAGACTTAGACTCTTATGTGGACACATAATGATGTAGATGTTTTTAAGCCCCCATTGACACAATTTAGATTTTATTTTGAAAAACTCACATAACCTTCCTTTCCCAAGAACACAACATTGGGCCCCCCTGGCAGGATTCGAACCCACGACCTCACTCACACTGCTGACAGTTCAAACATCTATCCTCCAGACCACGGATGCCACAATTACATCATATGACACACACTCAATCATTACGTGGGCCACAGCCCGTCACATGTACAAGAACGTGGGATTTTGTCGAGACTTTCTCACCCCAAGAGACAGACCATCAGAAATGTCACAAGGGAAACAACAGCAGAAAACACTGTTTACAAAGATAACCAACCAACAATTTCAGGAATCAAAGTAATGCTTTAACAATGAGCATTTTGATGTCATTCATAATAATAAGGACAACAATAATAATTGAAAGAAACAATTATGATAATAATAATAATAACAATAATAATAACAATAATAATAATATTAATAATAATATTAATAATAAATAATAATAACAACAATAATAATAACATTAATAATAATAATAAAAATAATAATAATAATAATAACAATAATAATAATAATAACAATAATAATAACATTAATAATAATAATAATAATAATAATAAAAATAATAATAATAATAATAATAATGACAAAAAACAAAAACAGAAGTAATAAGGTCATTATTATGATTAGCATTATTATTAAAAACAATGATAATGGCAATAACAATATCAGCGTTAATTAACAACAATAGTAAAAACAGCAATTAGAACCACAGCAACAAATAATACAGAATAACTTTCATAAGAACAACAACACCTCTACTAACAATATAACCAGAAACAAAAATAAAAAATCAAATCGTCCCCATATTGCCTGTCCTCGTCAATCCGGCTCCTCACATTTTTAGCTTTAGTAAGTGTTTTACGGCACTTGCAACACAATAAGGTCATATAAGTGCCGAAGATTAGAGGTGTTACAAGAGAGTAACAAACACAAAAAAGAAGGATGGGAGGTAAAGACGACAGATGTTTGATAGGAAAGAAGGAGCAAACCACACGGGAGCACCCGCCAACCACCCAGTCACTGAGTCAGAGAGGGATACATCCCAGCAGAAAGACAAAAGAGACGCTCTTAAAAACTCTCCCCCTCATGGGAATAGAACTTACATCTTTTGTGTCAAGCAAGAAAAGTTTTATTTTTTTTATAGCAGAGGGTTTTACGGTGCTCGCAACAGCATAAGGTCATATGAGCGCCAAGGGGTGGATGTCAACAGAGAAGTCTTTACAGGGAATCAGACTTTAACTGCTCACCTCTCTAGCTTCAACAGCACAAGGTCTGCTTCGACTATCAAGGCACCCCAAAATAGCAGGTCACAAGAGAGTGACAAACATACAAAAGAAGTAGAGTAAAATCACAATAGTAAAGATCAGGAAAGAAAAAGCAGCAGTTCCCTGTTGTAGATCAGGCACAGTTATGAGCGAGACATGATGAATCGGCCCATTTACAATTCTACTATGCTTGAACGAGAAATGTCCCCCCTTTGGGAATGGCCTAAAGACACTTAAGTCAGTGGCACTGCCCCGGGGGGACATCTTCTGAGTCAAGCAAAACAGTGGTTAACTGCTCCACCACAGACGAGATGTAAGTCACCTAGGTGAAGTGAGGAAAACCTGAGTCAAATATCTTTCCCACGGACATAATGCCGGGCCTGGACTAGAGGGTTTGAACACATACCCTTACCGCAGCTACAGGATAGCAGTACTGCAAAACAAAGAGAAAGAACCCCCCCTCACCCCCCAAAAACCCCCCCACAAAAAACAACAACCAAGACCTGCTCCTCTTGTTCTGTAACTTCGGAGTAAACTCAAACCCTAGACTAGTAGAGATAAGTTGTTTTTGTTAGAGTTTTACGGCACTTGTAACACAATAAGGTCATGCAAGTACAAATATTAGAGGTGTCACTAAAGAGTAAGATACATAGAAAAGAAGGAGAACAGATAAGGACAATACATTTTTTGACAGGAAAGAATGAGCAAACTAAAACATAGCGACCACAAAACCTTCCATCAAACCACAAAACAAAAAATTACACACTACCTAAGAAATATGTGAGGCAGCGTGGTGGAATCAGGCTCTCGTCAAAATAATCAAAGTGAAAAAACTTGCATTTTTCTGTAGGTTTGTGAATTTTTTTTCAAATATTTGTTTTTTGGCTCAACACCTTTTATGTCCATTAAAGAACTCACCACAAAACATGTAAATTTTCAGTTACCGCGTACTCTCAAGCTAAGGAAATAACTAATTTTTGGTTGCCATTTTCTCGCTAATTTTACCTCTGAAAACAGGTGACCCCACCTCCTTCTTTCGCAAATATCTCGACTTGTATTCAAGACAAATGGATATTTTTTTCATCCAAATACAGACAAGTGAACAAGCTTTAAGATGATACCAATAACTTTACATGCCCAAAAATTGACAAGAGCCTGATTCCACCACGCTGCCTCACATATGATAATCAAGCACAAGCATCACATCAAACATTGTAAACCAGTACATAATAAAGCTATCTCAAAACACTTCCACCGACTGAGCAGACGACAGTGGGTTTGTCCTGGCAAATTGTTCACTCATTGAGGATTTGTGTGTTCTGCACACTTGAAGACACACTATTTTGAAGTTTTTAGGGTTTTTTTTAAAGCATAACCCTCAATTTTTTTTATTGAGGACAGTAATCCATCAACTGGATAGAATTGGGGGACAGATTTCTGCGTCCGCCATCAGCTTCTGCAGCATCCGCCCTGCTAAACCACTGGGCACAAGGCCGTGGGGAAAAAAGTCTGGAACAGACACTACACCGATCTAAGCCAAAAGGCCGAGATGCCGTTAATACGTATACAATGAAACATTTAAATTTGCGCTTCTGATTTGTGAAAGCCGTTTCGAAATGCCTGATAACATAGTCTTCGGTCCTCTACTAATCAGTCATGAGCCCACTAAGTACTTGCAGAGTTCACCGGTGATATATTCTGTTACAGCAAAAGCTAAACGCAAGAAAATATTCTCTCCAGTTTTTACTCACCCTTCTCTCGCACGAGTAGACGAGGCAAGACGCCAGGCAATCCTGGAGAAAAAATCTGGCAGGTTCTGGGAGCACGGAGCACACTTTAGAAACACATCCACTTTTGATGATGATGTAGAGAGGGATCAACTTTCTTGACAACTTGACTAATGTGACAAGGATAGACTGATATACCTCAAAATACACTTGACAATGATAGACTGATATACTTAATAATATACCTAACAATGATAGACTGATATACCTCACAATAATAAACCTGACAGTGGTAGACTGATATACCTCACAATAATAAACCTGACAGTGGTAGACTGATATACCTCATAATATACCCGACAATGACACACCCATACGCCTCATAATATACCCGACAATGACACACCCATACACCTCATAATATGTGATCCGGTCTGAGAAAACCAGGAATATTTCGCTAAACCCCGAACCGAGATATCTCACTTCACATTACATAGGACATACAAGAACCCTTACATCTTCACTTTACCGTACACCTTTATAAAAAATTTGACAGAACTGTTAAGAAAGCCAGCAAGATCTCTGGATATGATTTTATAAGAATGGATGAAATGTATAACACCGCATGTATAAAAAAGATAAAAAGCATAATAAACGACCCATCACACCCCTTTTCCACACAAATTGTAAGATCACGCAGCGGCAGATATGTACCTCCAAAAACAAAGAAAGAAAGATGTTAAATATAAAAGAAGTTTTTTACCATCTAGCATAAGAAGGCTTTTGTCAGAATGAGCATAGATGTGTGTTGCTCTTAGAGTATGTAATTGTATATAACTCCAAAGGTCTAGTATTTAAATTCCTGCATGTGGTTGAATGATGCATTTGATGTAAATGTACATTTTGTCAGCTTTACTTCTTTCATATTGAATTTTAATGAGAGTAATATATATGATTAAAATTTTTTTTTATGTATACCTGCATGTGTATTTACGGTCCTGTACAGCCTAGGAAAATTTCCCTCTGGGATAATAAAGTACTATCTTATCTTATCTTATCTTCACATTACCTATCACTTTTGTCTTCACATTACATCGGGCATACAAGAACCGTTACATCTTCACATTTCCTACATCACCTTTGTCTTTACATTACAATGGACAAACAAGAACCTATAAATCTACATCTTCACATTACCTTACACCCTAATCTTCACATTACCTTACAACCTAATCTTCACATTACCTTACACCCTAATCTTCACATTACCTATCACCTTTGTCTTTACATTACAATGGACAAACAAGAACCCTTACATCTTCACTTTACCGTACACCTTTATCTTTACATTACCGTACACCCTTATTTTCACATCACCCTTTTCTTCACATTACCTTACACCCTTTTCTTCACATTACCTTACACCCTTTTCTTCACATTACCTTACACCCTTTCCTTACACCCTTTTCTTCACATTACCTTACACCCTTTCCTTACACCCTTTCCTTACACCCTTTTCTTCACATTACCTTACACCCTTTCCTTACACCCTTTTCTTCACATTACCTTACACCCTTTCCTTACACCCTTTCCTTACACCCTTTTCTTCACATTACCTTACACCTTTTCTTCCCATTACCTGAGACCCTTATTATTTATATCTTACATTACACATTACTTTTACATTACCCTTATTCTTACATTACATCAGACACACAGAGCCCTTCTTTTTTACATTAAATCTGATAAATAAAAGTCCAGTTATATCACAAGAGACATGTGGTATCCCCAACTCCACACCACATCAGCGTACCGTACAGGAATCTCTAACTTCACACAACAAGCTCTCAAAGATCTGAGCCAATGTTTTCACTGTATGGCAAATATTCTCACAAGGAGGCCACCGCTCTCAGCGTCTTCTGTCTCACCTGTGTGCCCTGAGGAGAGAGGAGCCCGTGAGGAGCTATCAAGTGGACTCAAAAAAACGGAGCCAAAGTTCGAACCGAGAAACGGACCATAACTACGCCATAAAATGGACCAAAAACATGGATTGAAATTTGGACCAAAACATGGACCAAAATCTTGGACTATAAAAATTGCCTAAAATATGGACCCAACAGCATCCCCTGGCATTGATGAGAAACACAATCTGGCGAACCTTCGACAGAACTCACGTCAGAATCGGCAGACGCAACACGGCTGATCTCCTCCCGTTCACACCCTCGCCACACAGACTCACGACTCGTAACTCCTGCCATAGCTACAGACAGACAAAAAGACTGGAAGACAGACAGACAGACAGACAGACAGACAGACAGACAGACAGACAGACAGACAGACAGACAGACAGACAGACATAAAGACACAACTCCATCGAACAAAACTTTTTGGTCTGAATAAAAAAAGTATTTCCATAAATAAAGTTATACTGAATGTACATATCTAGAAATGTATGTACATTGTATATATATATAATTATATAATCTTTCTTTTAAAATAATTTTGGTCAATTCTGTGTGGACAGGCAACAGATGATATCGGTAAACAGCATGACAGCAGAAATCATTAAGGAATACAGACACAATTACCGTTTGCGCCCACTGTGTCAACGCGTGTCATGTCTAACATATAATGTGCCGACACATTTTGTTAGACATATTTCATGTTAATACATTTTATGTGGACACGTTTTTAAATGATAATGTACTTTTCCTTCAAACATTTTTGCATTCACACATATTGCAATGACACACTTTATATCCATAAACAGACCATAAATCTTACAAAGTTTACACATACCATTAACTCTTACAACATTCACACATATTGCAATGACACACTTTATATCCATAAACAGACCATAAATCTTACAAAGTTTACACATACCATTAACTCTTACAACATTCACACATATTGCAATGACACACTTTATATCCATAAACAGACCATAAATCTTACAAGGTTTACAAATACCATTAACTCTTACAACATTTACACATACCATTAACTCTTACAACATTTACACATACCATTAACTCTTATATGTTTACACATACCATTAACTCTTACATGTTTACACACATCATTAACTCTTACATGTTTACACAGACCATAAACTCTTACATGTTTACACATACCATAAACTCTTACATGTTTACACAGACCATAAA